TCCTTCAATTGCATTTTTAGATACAAATTGCCTAAGACGCAAATGAGAAATAACTAGATGTCATGTTATTTTACACCATTCAGAATTTTTGCAATTACCTAAAAGAATAAATACATGATTTTCAAACACCAATTTTTGAAGTAAAAATACAAGTATGCGATTAACATAAAAAAGGATTTCTCCGTAGTGAATCCTTAGAAATGACCAAAATATCTTATCATAGGAAGCTATGGAAAGAGAAATGAAATCACTGACCTCTCAATTTGATAGTTCAAATGAGTTTCTAAAAAGATAACGCAAAAGAAAAAATACAAAATTAATGCAAAATTAATTTGCATCCTATGGAAAATAACAAGGATTCTGTAATAAGAAAACCCTAAAAAGATGAAGTTTTTCCTCTCCTTTCTGAAAAGCTTAAAAAAACAACAAAACTAAATTATTTCAAAATCAATGGACTTCAAGCAATCCAAGAGAATTTGGAAAACATTTCTCTAAAAACCAATCCAGAATGCAGGATGTCAATTTGGAAATAATGGAAGCATATTTCGTTTTCAAATTTGAAAACTTTTAAAGACAAAAATTCAAGTTAACATCCCAGTGATTAACCCAGGGGCTGTTTAGCCAAGAACAACCTTCGGCACTTAAAACATAAAACTGTCAGTTTCCTCTGCTTGGAGACAAAACATACAAAACGCAAACATTCACTGCTAGATTTTCCTAGATGTGAAAGACAGAGCTAACTTTTATAAAAGGTGATTGCTCTGAATATTTCTACCAGTTATTACATTTATGCCGTGGCTCCCCAAAATCAGCTACAAATTCCAAACCTCAAAATCCTCCTTAGCAGATGGCTACTACTCTAGCACATTACTCCCTAAATCGTGGTGGAAATATATACAAGCACTTATTGAACTTTGCTAGGGCTCAACGTACAAATATGTTAAGCTGCCAGTGCTTGATGTTATTGGATATAAGCTACCATAAACAATAAAACTCTTTACTAAAGACCCCTAAGGGCTGATAACAGGATAGTTGGCATTCTATTTCTTGCAAATCTGAATAAAGCATACTGACGGTGAGACTAATGTAAGTACTCTCTTCCCTGAACCAAGACACATGCATTTCAAGCATCATCCGTGATCAACTTGTCAGATACATATTTATAAACTTGGACTACAGAGTTTGGTAGCAGCACTGAGTAACTAAAATTGTCTTAATCTTTTTGCCAGAAATCTGTCAGTTGGTGCTTACAATTGTTTCAAAATTATACCACAACTTTCTTTAATTTCATTCAATGCATTTCCTCAGACAAATAGGACGGTAAAGGCCTGCTCGCAACAAATCAATAAGTGAAATTATTTTACAGTGTATGCCTTTCCTCTTCTTATACTGCCCCCAAAATAAATATTATAAAGAAATGTAGGCAAAAAAAACCCACAGCTAGCACTTTTTTCCACTAAAAGAAGAAATACTGCAGAAATTTTAAACTGAAATATTAAATTCCCAAAGAGAAAAAAAGAAAAAAAAGGAGGAAAGAAAAAAATGGTAATAAAGCATGGCAGAATAATCCAAAGGAAGCATGCTTGGGTTCGGCATTATTTCCCTTAGCATCCTGAAATGAACGACATCACGCTGCCCGTGATCTCTGCTTACTCTGAAAACCAGCCAGAGGCTTTTCAAAAAGGGAAAATTCGAGTTGTGCTTTCAAATGCCAAATTAACTTACGGGACTTCCACTCCTGAAGGGAAACAGCAAAGGAGCGCACCAGAAGCTATGCTTTTTGTCACACAAAGCCGGAACTGATGAGTGTGACCCCAATGGGGTTTATCTAAAATCCCCACGTACCTCAGGCAAGGAGGTCAAAAGTTTTCTTTGTCAAAAATATACAAATAAATGAAGCTAGATATAGCAATAGTTCCTTACGTTATCATGGAGTGTACAGTATGCAAGTCCCCCTTTTATTCAGCTCTCTCTCTCTTTTTCTATAGGAACCCAAAATGGGAAAAACGAAGAGGATGAAAACCTGTTTACGCTCATATCTAACCTCCTAGTCTCCACTTGTAATCTTTATTGGTCTCATTTTAAAATTGTTATTATTATCACTGATACATCGAAGTATTCAAGAAGCGTCCATAGCATGTAGACATCATTAAACGTGAACAATGATATGCTAAACTATTCTTGGAGGAAAAAGTTACAGGACAGGTGTGTACAAAAGTGTAACACCAAAGAGTTAAATGTTTGACAAAGTGAATGTGCAAGATCATGAACACATATTTGCACGTAAAATGTGTACATTAGGATTCTTAGTATTGGCCTAAAATTTTACGAGTGGCAGCTTTCTTACTGGAAGCTTATCAAGTACCAAGAAAAAGTAAAAAGTAAGTCACTAGGGCACTCTTCCAAAACATAAGTTGTCTTAAGAACGGGACATTTAAAGGTAAAATAAACAGTGATGAGATAGAGTAAAATAAATTGTTCATTGTAATTTAGGTTTAGATGATAGTGACTTTTTTCACAGTAATTGACCACATTTTCTATCCAATGAATGTAATGCAAATTCACTCTAAAAATAAAGGAGAAACATCTTTTACTCTACATTTACAGAAAATACTGTTTTATGCTACTTATTACTTGGATATGTAATTGGGTTGGCCACTTGTACCTAAGTTGTTTTCTAAAACTTATCTAAGTTTGCATAATTGAGGAGCAACACTTGCAATCATTTTTAAAAAGAGTAACTTAAAGACAGTATTAAACATTATCATTTCTGTTTTTTCAATTTATAATTTAAATTGATTTATTAACGCAAAAATTCAGCCACCAAATACAGAAACACATGATTTTAAAAGATCTCAAAGGTATACCTAAAAATAATAAAGAATTATTCATCATTTAATAATTACACTAATATTCGAGGAAATTTAATAACATGGGCCTTGATTCCAATTAATATATATGATCATTCTTAACTTCCATCAGTTGAATGGCATTTTTAAAAGTTAAAGTGAGCTAGATTCTCTTTCAAAAATATTTAATGGCATCAAACAGTAAAGCAGAACCAAATATCAAACTCTCTTTTAGGAACTTGCATATCGTTGGGATTACTTCATAGTATTGAGAGTAAAACAGGCTGTTGTATTTATTTCTACATCTGTCAGAGCTAAGGATGCTGTGTGGATAATGACATCACAGAGAAGTCACAAGTAGAAGTTGGTTTTTAATGTGTTTTGCCAAGCTTGCTGTCATTTCAGAACCAAAATTATAATTAAATTAACCTCTAAATCAGTGTTGGGATGCATTAAGTAATTAAAGACTAAAGTCATTTCAAAAAATAGGTAATATGTTAAAATTCCATTCAGTGCCTGTAATGCAGAAACATTCTATATGAATGAGACTTCAGATACGCACACGTTCATGTACACACTAAATTAATATGAAGCCACAAATTCATATGCTGCACTTGTGCATAGCTCAGAGAAAAATAAAGCTAAAACTAGATTAGTAATGCTTGATGCCTTTGCACATGAAGTGTATCATATGTAATAGAGAAATTTAGATTCCACAAACAAATTTCTACCGCATATATTCACACTACCGGTATTTATAGATGTATCTGATCTCAAACATAATAGATACTTCTATAAGAAGAAATCAAAATAGTGATTCACAAGAATTCACTGAAAGCTAGAATCTAATCAAGAAGCACATTATAATATAAATGTTTTGATTTGTAAGTTTCATAAATTCTGTTCAGATATAACAAATAAAAAAGCTCTAAAGCAAAATCTCTTTTATCTCTTCTTTTTCAACAGCTAAAATATATTTATTGTCTAAATAGCAATTGTGTTGTATCTATCACCCTACACTGGGTCGATTCCTGCTTATTATAATACTCAATTTAATAAAATAATGTTAATGCTTTTTTAAGACTTGAGACATATGCATTCGATAATATGAATATGCTTATTATTCTTTACAATACTATGCTACTCACTACCATGAATGCAAAGTAATTAACAGATGAAACAATTATAAATGCAAATAAATGAACCATGCTCCCTTCACATAAAGGAAAAAGAGAAACAAAATAAACTATGGACACTTGAATATTTCCTTTTAACACTACTATAGAAGGCTTAAAGAGCTGACAATGAGTCATTTGTTTATTCAAGTCTTAAATAAATTGAATATATAAGTTAACTTCTGACTTACTTAAAAGTATTTGGAACATTTTCCAGAGCCTACTTTGACTGTGTCAATTACCTAGATACCAAAGTTGTTGTATTGTGTTGCCTGATGAAATAGGACATACAGCAACCCTCAAAACCAGTATTACAAGCCTGGCAAACAGCATCACAATTGGGTGACGCACAGAATCCATCACCCTAGGGGAAAATGGTATGGTCATAGTATGGAGTCTTTACATGTTCTATATTATTTCTACATAACGTTTTGAGATGACAGAATTGTAAACTGTAAAGTGCTGTCCCATAAAAGGATATATTCAGAAACAGCACCATCACTTATCTGCTACTCTCGACAAAAATGGGACTTTGGAAACATTATCTTAAAATATACTGAATGGTAGCATTTTGATTTATAGTTTTCTGTCATTTCTTAAATTTCTTAGTAAATTCGGAGGTGATATTAGTATTGTGATAGTAATGGCTTCATTACTGTTAAACTCCATACTCATTTCAAACTTCTAGAATTTATAAAGTAGATCATGTATCTCCTTAAAAGATTCATGTTTAAAGAGCAGAGTGAATGGCTCAGCATATTAAGACTCCACCACCAAGGTGTTCCTTCATATTATCAGTCCATATACATTACATGCATAACACACACATACAATAGCATGCACACAGAGCAGCAATAACTTAAACACAGAATAGCTATTGTGAATACTTCAAGCACTTGCAGGCATTCACACTGCTAGATTTCCTCTCATATTGTAGGTATCTACCGCCCCAAAATTGCACAAATCAAAATGTTACCTTTGTTCAAACAATACTGCAGTTCATTCTATAACAGAAAGTGTCATCCTCAATGGCTCAGGATCCAACAGAGTGGTGGATTCTTGGAGCAGAAGTGGTGCCGAGTGGTTTGAGGCAAAACTGAAACATATTGTTTAAGTAAACCTTAAGGGGAGGGGATCATATGCGCAATTGATGGATTTTTTTTATATCATCTTCCACAAAGCCTCTCCAACCCCTCCCCGCCTCTGAACAGTAAACAAACTGCTGATATTAAAGGATAGCAGCTCTGAACACCTCCTCCTCCCTTTTTTTTCCTTCTTGCTAAACTTTATTACTGTCCCCTCAGTTTTGAATAAGCCAACATTCATTAAATAAAAATGTACTAACAGAGAACCCCATAACTTCAAATTTAGGATTGAAAACTTGGGGAAAAAATAAAATAAAGCAAGACTTACTTAAAGACACTCTGATGCAAACAACTTATAGCTTAAGTTTCTAAAGATTTTCCTGACAACTCCTTAAGGAAAGAAGTAATTAGCAAAGAAAGAATGCCTCTGATTTGAACTCAAGTCTACAGTCCTCACAAGAAAAACTGAGAAACACATAAAGGTAAATCAAAACTGTCAGATTTCTACGAGAGAACACCTCAACTTCCCTAAATATGTGGAGTGGTTTTTATGACTATTATAAATGTCTTAAAAGGCATTTTAAGGTATCAATGTGATGCCTAATTTTCAGTATGTGTTATTTCTAAAATACACTGTTTGAAAAAAAAAAAATCTCAGAACAAATTTGGGCTTAAAAGCCAAGTCCCAGACAAGTAACCATAAGATTTCAACCTTAGGAACAATCACATCAGTAATGTTGCTCAGTCCTGGCCCATCAAGTGGGGCGAGGGCCCCATCTCTGGGTGGAGTGTCTTTCCCCAAGGAAGGAAACACTGGCACAAATCTCTCTGCCCTCCTGCAAGACTGTCCGACTTGCCAGCTTCTGAAGTTGCCCTGATGTCAATCAACATCACCAAGATGTCTCCTAACTGGAGAAAGTTCTGTTCGCCTGCGCAAGATCAGGAAGAGAGAAGATGACTATGGGGAAAAAATAAAAACTTAAAAACACTGTGTAATTAATAGGGTTAAAGAATGATCAACTAAAATTGGGAGAGAGAAAAAAACAAAACAAAACAAAAAAAACACCAGCAGAAACAAACTGACCCTTAAAATGAACGCTTTCCCCTCTCAAAATATATTTTGGTAAAGTTTCATCTATTTTCCTTCCTCTGCACATAAAAATGATTAATGCCACAATTAAACTTCCACAGTTCAGGCTCTTGCTAACAGGTGTAGCGTTCTTTATATAAACATATTCATTGACCTGTCGCCATTGATAATCTTAATTAATTCATCTCGGTTGAAACAAAAACAAATGTCCTTTTTCAAATAAAAAAGAAATAACGCAACACAAATACCCACTTCTCCCCCAAACCCCAAAACTGTTTAAGTTACGGTAACCTGAAATGCACCAGCCATCACAGAGAGCGATTGGAGAGACCCGGCAGTGTTCAGCAGGAAAGATTTTTAATAACAGATTGAAAAACAAGAATAAAAATAACTACATCAACAGAGCCTTTCTTCCTCAGGCCACAAGCCCGTTCTTACTTGAACTTCTTTTTTTTTAAATGGCATTTTGGCCACTAAAACCAATCCAGAACATTATTAAAAGTTAAAAGCTACCAATTACTTCTGTCTGTTCTTTTAAAGCAAAGTTTGGCATTACGTCAGTTGGTTTAAAGAAAACAAGAAAGAGAGAAAGAGTAGGAGAGAAAGTTTCCTGCTTGTATAAACTAAACCACCAGGGAAGGTGTCTAGCCACTTGTAAAGTATTTACTGCAGGTTTTTAAAGAGCTAGAAAATATTTAAAAATTAAAAGTTTTCTCTTATTTTTAATGAAACATACTTAGGAACGAAAAAGCGTAGCCTTCATGTCTTCTTTGAAGTGTCTGGATGTTATGGGTATTTCAATCATAGCTCTCAATCATAAAATGATTTCCAATGATGCTTCAAATTGGAAATACATAGATAATTTCATCTTTGTTTTGCTACTTGTATTTGTGCTCTTGAGAAGAAAAAAAAAAAAAGTGGGATGACAAAAAAGTAGGCATTGCTAAGTAACCAGTCAGATTTCTTCATCTAACTCTTAACATTTTAAATTATTTTTATCACAGATTCTTCTTCAAATTCAGTGAGGTTTCCTTAACTCTAAAAGTTCTCTTTCTAACTTAAATCAAGTTCTACATTATTATAGCCATCAGAGAACCAAACCAAAGACCAACAAACTCCATTCCCAGGGATCAGAGAACCACGGGGTGATAGGACACAAGCCTAAAGATGACCATAAGATCAACACTGAAGACATTGCAAGGGCCCTATATAATTAATCAAATATCCTACACAAATAAACAAACGGCTTAAGACCCACTTCTACTCCAGGACAAATTTTTTAAAGTGGCTATTCCCTCAGCAGCCCTGGTTGCTACTGAACAGTAGTATAAAACAACACTTGGCATTTTAGCATATTTACTTTCACCAGTGGGTTAAAGTTTTTTAGGAGATACATACTTTTGATAACTACCAAAACTCTGCTCAATTTTTTCAATGTAAACGATTACAAAGTGCATTAGACCCCTCGATACGTAAGAATTACGAGTACCCTTCGAAAAGCAGATTAAATTTCTACTTGGCGAAGGCTAGAAGAGTTCCTTCATATTTTATCTAAGGGGGACCCTACAATTCCATAAATCATTATGATTATAGAAACAAAAAAAAAATCTACTTCTTTCTGTAGGATATTAAAAGAGGAATGTAGTTACCAGAAGGTAAAACCAAGTCTCGATATGCTGCCATTAATTTCTCCACATTTCAATAAGAAATAAATACGAGAAAGGAGTAAACAAGACTCAGAATTAGTTATCGATGGTATTAGTAGTTAGAACCAGCAAAAGGGAGAGAGAAAGAAACCTCAGTTACCTGAACGCTTCACCGAGGATGAACAACAGAAAGCAAGTCCATAAAACTTGGCTGCTTTTATCAAATTGATTGTAACTTGTGAGCTGCACTATTTGGGACAGAACCGTCTGAGTTTATAGTTTTCTTTGCCTGCCAAAAACAGATGCAGACTACCACACTCGCTGTCCTGCGGAAACTAAATTAAGCAAAGGCAAATACCAAGTGGAAAGTTGTCAGTCTGTTGAATGAATGGCTTCATTTTACACACCAGAGAATATCTTAATAAGAATATGTCTTAATGTGCACGTCATTTTATTTTAAGCACTTAAAATAAAGTGCTTATTTCAAAAATAATGATTTTCCCTTGAAATTGATGATAAACACCTGTGCATAACTTTTTAAAAAGTCTATTTTGTTTTACACACAATAGCATAGTATTGTTATGGTATTGTTGGCTATTAGAGGGACAGTAAAGTAACAAAAAATAAATTTTATACAAATATATTGTGGATACATTTAAAGGCCAGTTACCAATATTTGTGCTCATTTTAAATTTAAAATAAAGCTCTAGCTCAAAAACAATTTGCTACAAGTTCTTTTAAAACTTTCAGTAATGTTTATTTACTTCAACAAAGAAGGTAAGACAGCAGTTTATTAAAGCTTAACACCTTTTGGCATTCTTCATAGAAATATGCAGATCAATAAATACAAATTGTGGTCTCTCTCTCTCTCTCTCTCTCTCTCTCTCTACACACACACACACACACACACACAATAAAAATAATAACAATGATAATATAATAGAAACATCATTGAGATACTAGGATCTTAAAAGCAGCTTTCCCACAGCTGCATTCATTTCCCTGTTTTGAAGGTTTTCCTGATGAATGAAGATTTCCTTATGTGTATGTGAGAGACCTACACTGCGGAAATCAGAGTCAACTCAGAAGCAATATGACTTAAAAGAAAAGTAAAAATAATACTGAAAATATGGTAGGGGCATATGGACCACACTTAAGATTAGCACACTGATTGAGAGTCTAGCCTGTTTTTAAGCAAAATTTTTATAAAATCACTTAAAATATTATCGCCAAAACGCTGAGGTCTAAAACCAACTCAGACTTCTCAGCTCCTAGGACGCTTTTCTCCTTACATGTAACGTTACCTTGAAGACACAAAGGGCATCATCAAAATAGCAGCAGAGCCCCTCACAGCGTCTAGAATCCAAAGGGGTGACAAACTTTTTTGTAAATAACTTGTTATGTTCCACTATTTACTTGGAGAGTCTCAGATTTAGTGATTATTATGTGCGGGAAAGTATTCCACACACATACATCCTAACATACAACAGATATATCGGTGAGCCGCACACATCAGCTCACGGGTGGGAAAGAATACTTTGCCAACAGAGTACTACTGAAGCTTCGAGAAGCCTCACCTTTAGAGAAATCAAATCAGAATGCTGGCAATTCAATTACATTTCCCCTCAGAAACTTCCTTTTCACATTATTAATATCCAGAAATAATCGTCAAACGTCAGCCCGTTAGTGGCCCTGTACATCACATTGAACCTAGACACGTTTCATCCCAGGGCATAACCTTAAAGGAAAGTTTAACCATCTGAGGAGGGGGAAGCTCTAAGAAGGACATTTTTGACTTGTTAAGATTAAGCATGCCATTAATAAACTTTCGCTTAAAGGTAAAAAAAAAAAAAATCCTCAAAATGTTGGTATCATTTCCAGACTGTCCTGTCAGCATCACAACTTACAGGAAATGCTTCATCTTCCCATACAAACCCTGTATTTATTCACAACCCTGGCATACTTGGGGGAAGAAAAAAAAAAGCCCTCACCATTTCAGAGCTGGTTGGCTTTTTTACACTAACTGGTGCAATATCTGAGAAAGGGTTCTCAGCAAATGAGCAGCCTGTAAGAAGCTTGACAACAGGGAGTGCAGAAACTTTCATTCTCATTTTGTCCACGTCAAGAACTGGCTGCGGCGCATTACTTTCCTTCGCTGCCCCTTGCATTTTTAACTCTGGCAGCCTTTTCGAAATGATCAACTTTTCCTAAAACCAGCAGCAAAGTAGTAACATGATGCCAGCAAGATCCATAGGTTTGCGCTGAAAGAGCTGAAGGACTTTGAAGACTGGCTGGAAGGTTCCTATTTTATTTTTTTTGCTGTGAGCAATCCCATGTAAGCCAACAACCAGGCCTAGAGTGATCACTTCAGTGTAATTTTTGTCTCGGGCCCTATCTGGGTTTTCCCTTTGCACTGAGTCTCCCTCCCAGACCCTTTCCTGTTCACCTGGTGCGTTTACAAAAGTTCAATGACTTCACAGAAGTGCAATGAGTCAGGAATCGGCCTAACTTCTCTGCGATTTCACTTCTCCCGCTAAAGCTTCTCACTTCACTTACCTCCCTGAAAAGTCTCGCCGTGATTGTCCAAAATAGGGCAAGGATGAATATCCTATCATACTTTGGGTTCATCATTAAAGATCCATCGCTCTGACTCAAAAACTTGCCTAGTTATCAATTATGAGGCCTAAAAAGACAGGAGGAAGTAAAGCAAGACCTGAAATTTAATAAGCCCAAGATTCCCCCCACCCCTGAAACCCACCAGTCCTTCTCGCCCTCTAACTTAAATCGCTTTAGAGTCTTCGGGCCATAAAACTGCGACTGACTTCCCAGGGGTGGGAGGGAAACACCACCATCTCACACAGGTACCAACAAAACAAAACCAAAAAAAAAAAAAAAAGCTTCCCCAGCCACAAAAACAGCTTTGCACTTCAAACAACTCCCACCTCCGCCTCACCCTCAGATTATTCACGGGGTCCTGCAATCCTGGAGTTTTGGGGGGAGGGGGGCAGTGGTGTTTGCCTTGGCCTTTGCACGGTGCGTGCCTCTAGAACCCAAACAGGAACTAGACAGGAGGCGCAGCGCCCGTCCGCCGGGCTGTCCCACCGCTGTCAGGCGTGTAATCACCGGCCAGTGTCCGCTGACCCGAGACACATGGCGCATCATCCGCACCCGCAGAGGAAGTCTGCCCCTGCCTCGGCCCCGACGGAAGCGCCCGGGCTGCAAGGCCCTGCCACATGGCACCGCGGGGCACCGACCCCTCGGTCGAGCCGCCCTGAGCCGCGCACAGGCGGGTGCATCAGGGGATGCGACCAGCCTCCTCCTCCAGCCCAGCTGGGCCTGGAAGGGAAAAAAGTTTGGAGCCTGGCTTTGCAAACTCTTCCCAAGCCAACGCCAGTCCGGTGCTGTTTTCCTACTCTGGGGACCGCACGAAGGCCCCTCCCGACCCTCCCAAGTTCGCCCAACTTACTACTCTGCATGCTGGTGCCTAGTGTGCTCCCCGCTTGTCAGGAGCCCCCAGAAAACTTGCAGCGGCGGCGGCGGCGGCGGCGGCAGCGGCCCCTCGGGTCCAGCCACCTCCAGCTCCTCCGCTGCGCCCGGTAGGAGAGAATTAAAATCAGCCCGAGAGAGACAGCGAGGGGGAGTAGGGCTGCGAGGGGGAGGGGGCACCGGCCTGAAACTTCTTTTTTTGGCAAATGGGGATTTGTTTTTCCTCCTCCCCGGCGGCTGAACTTGACCCTCCTGACTCCAGGGGCTACTGCAGTTGGAAGTCGCTCGTTTCTAAGGCTCAGATGCCTCCGACCCACCAAAAGGAGGAGAGGAAGGGAGGGGAAAGAGAGCAGAAGAGAAGAAAGAAAGAAATCACACGCGCAAAAAAAGGAAGAAAGAAAATGCATGTGAAACCCGAGAAGCCTGCGCTTGGCTTTCTGCACACTCTCCCTCCGCTGCTTTTTTTTTTTTTTTTTTTTTTTTTTCAAAGAAAGTCACTTTTAATTCCCAGGGCTCCCCGCTCGCGATCGCCCACATTTTGCGCACACACGCGCGGGCGCAGCACTCGCAGCGCGGTGCCCGGCCGGGCCGAGCGGCTCCGCGCCCCCCCGCGCCCCCCGCGCCCCGGCCCCGCGGCCGCCCGGGCCTCCCCTCCTTACCTGTTGATTAATCGTCAAGAACACCCTCCGCAGCCCGAAAGATGGTGGCGCGGCGGCCAGAGCCATGAACCGTCTTCTGTTGTTTGCAGAGTTGATCTTGGATTATTTGGGGGGGTGGTGGGGGGGAGAGAAAGGTCTTTCCTGCCTCCCCCCCTTTTCCTTCCCTCCCCCCTTTTATAAAAAAAGAGAGAGAGAGAGAGCAAGAGAAAGAGAAAGGAAATAGAGCAAGGATGTGCCCGGTGCCGGGTGGGAGAGGGGAGGGGGTGTTGTTTTTTGTTTAAAAAATAAAATAAAATAAAATAATAATGGGAAGGCGAGAGCGCGATCGAGAGGACGCGGGGTCTGGAGGAACGAGCAGCACCAAACAAGAGGACGCTTGAGATTGCAGTGAGATCGGGTCTTTATCAGAAATGTTATCGCTTGTCAGGACCTCAGTCTCCGCGCATTACGTCAGTTTCAAGACACCAACACTATTAATATCAAAGGAGCCTTCGCGGAGGAAAGCGCCAC